GTGTGTGTGTGTGTGTGTGTGCGCGTGTGCGTGTGCGTGTGTGTGTGTGTGTGTGTGTGTGTGGCGTGCATATCGCTAGTGGGTGGCTTACTAACACCTTTTCAACTGCACCTCTGTACTGTGCCCAGGGGAGAGTTTTTTTGTTTGTTTGTTTGTTTTTTTGTTTTGTTTTGTTTTTCGAGACAGGGTTTCTCTGTGTAGCTTTGCGCCTTTCCTGGAACTCACTCTGTAGCCCAGGCTGGCCTCGAACTCACAGAGATCCGTCTGCCTCTGCCTCCCAAGTGCTGGGATTAAAGGCGTGCGCCACCACCGCCTGGCTCAGGGGAGAGTTTTTGGCTCAGGGGCCGTGCGCACATGTGGAGCGAGGCTCTGATCTCAAAGCGTGGCTTTGCCCTGCTTCTCCCTTGCCTCATTTAGTTCCTTTGTAAACCTGCCAGCGGGGACTGGAGACAGCTGGGTGGTTAAGAGCACTTGCTGCTCTTGAGGAGGACCCAAGTTAGATTTCCAGCCACCACAGCTTACAGCTGTCTGTAACCCCAGTTCCAGGAGGTCCACTGCCTCCTTCTGGCCTCTTGGGTACTGCATGTACATAGTGCACATACATGCACAAAGGAAAATCCTTTCTACACGTAAAATAAAAATAATCTTAAAGCAGGGCCGGGGATAGTGTTTGTTAGATTGGGATTGACAGGTGACGTGGAAATAAAGGAAGACAGGCACCTTCAGAAGCGGGATTATTCTTCAACCAGAACTTCTGAAGTCTCCAGGGAAGTGGAGACTGCCCACTGGGTGTGGCGTGCTTGGGTTTTAGTAGGACGGAAAGGAGATGGGAGATTCCATCTGCACGTCAGTTCCCCTGCCTTCTCAGGGGGGTAGATGCCACGCGGAGATACGCCGGTCCTCTAATCAGAGGCTTCTGGGACCTAACAGCCCTCAGGCGCCATCCATGAAGCTAACTTTCCTTTGCCGAGCTCCTCAGTCCACCTGAGGCCTTACCCTGCATTGTTTGCCTGTGGGGAATGTCGTCAGAGTCTGGGTAAGACTAGCTAGGGCAGAATGCTTGCTTGGCGTGCACAGAGCCCTGGGCTAGACCCCGGAGTCTCATGAACTTGGCAGGTGGGTCTCACCTGCCAACAGCCGTCAGGAGGTACAGGCAGGAGGGTCAAAAATCTCAGACATCCCGGGCTATGTCTGAGGAAAGATGACATGGTGGAAATGTGCCTAATTCTTGTTTCTTCATGGAGGTGCGGGATGCGCCAGGACCTGTGCACGCTTGGCAGGTCGTCTCCTGCTAAGCTGCCCCTTGGCCTGGCGAGCAGTTTTGAGACTAGTTGCTTCTCTGTGACAAGGCCTGAGTGTTTGCGACTGTGTGTGTATGTGTCGCTGTGTATCGGCCTGTGACAGTGTGTCCGACATCCCATGCAACCTCCTCCCCAAGGGCCTGGCCTCCCAGGTCTGGTGGCCTCACTCCTGCCCCACCCTGCCCCACCCCCTCAGCTTCTGCACATGAAAAGCAACAAGTACCTGACCGTGAACAAGCGGCTGCCAGCCCTGCTGGAGAAGAATGCCATGCGGGTGACGCTGGATGCTACAGGCAATGAGGGCTCCTGGCTCTTCATCCAGCCCTTTTGGAAGCTGCGGAGCAATGGGGATAACGTGAGCAGGAGGCCAGGGCGGGAAGGGGCTGGGCGGAGGTGTGGACCCCATCCGGGGGGTGCGTGAGGTCCAGGAGGGGGACAGAGCCGGGGGAGGAGACCCTGGTGGAAAATGGACTCTTGTTCTTCTCACCTCTCTCTGCTGTCTGTCCCCTAAGGTGGTCGTGGGGGACAAGGTGATCCTGAATCCTGTCAACGCCGGGCAGCCGCTGCACGCCAGCAATTATGAGCTCAGTGACAATGCTGGATGCAAGGAGGTGAGTGGGGTGGGGGAGGTGAGTGGAGTGAGGGAAGTGAGTGGGGTGGGG